AACCATGGAGACATTATACATCCCTGTCTAAGACCTATTTTTACCAGGAAGTAATCTCCCTCTCTCCTACACACCCTAACCTGAGCCTCACTATCCTCACAAAAACTCTTTACAGCATTTAGTAACTTTATTCCATATGCTTGCAACATCTGCCATATTGTTCCCCTATCTACTCTGTCATATGTCTTTTTTAAGTCCATAAATGTAATGAAAATGTCCCTACCTTTATCTAAATACTGTTCATATATATGCTTCAATGTAAACACTTGATCTACACATCCCATTCCCACTCTAAAGCCTCCTTGTTCATCTTCAATTCTACTCTCTGTCTTACCTCTAATTCTTTCAATAATAACTTTTTATTTTATTTATTACATTAACATATTGGCAGATTCCCACCTAGGCAGGGTGGTCCGAAAAAGAAAAACTTTCATCATCATTCACTCCATCACTGTCTTGCCAGAGGGAAGCTTTACACTACAGTTATAAAACTGCAACATTAACACCCCTCCTTCAGAGGAGTGCAGACACTGTACTTCCCATCTCCAGGACTCAAGTCCGGCATGCCGGTTTCCCTGAATCCCTTCATAAATGTTACTTTGCTCACACTCCAACATCACGTCAAGTACGTATGAAAAAACAATTTGTCTCCATTCACTCTTATCAAATATGCTCACGCACACTTGCTGAAAGTCAAAGCCCCTCACACACAAAACTTTCTTTACCCCCTCCCTCCAACCTTTCCTAGGCCGACCGCTACCCCGCCTTCCCTCCACTACAGATTTATACACTCTCAAAGTCATTCTGTTTTGTTCCAGTCTCTCTACATGTCCAAACCACATCAACAACCCCTCCTCAGCCCTCTGAATAATAGTTTTAATAATCCCACACCTTCTCCTAATTTCCAAACTACAAATTCTCTGCATTATATTCACACCACACATTGCCCTCAGACATGACATCTCGACTGCCTCCAGCCTCCTCCTCATTGCAACATTCATCACCCATGCTTCACACTCATACAAGTGTGTTGGTACAACTATACTGTCATACATTCTCCTCTTTGCTTCCATGGACTAAGTTCTTTGTCTCTACAGACTCCTAAGTGCACCACTCACCCTTTTCCCCTCATCAATTCTATGATTCACCTCATCCTTCACAGACCCCTCTGCTGACACATCCACTGCCAAATATCTGAATACATTCACCTCCTCAATACACTCTCCCTCCAATCTGATATCCAATCTTTCGTCACCTAATCTTTTTATCCTCGTCACCTTACTCTTTCCTATATTCACTTTCAATTTTCTTCTTTTACATACCCTACCAAATTCATCCACCAACCTCTGCAACTTCTTTTCAGAATCTTCCAAAAGCACAGCATCATCAGCAAGAGCAACTGTGACAACTCCAACTTAGTGTTTGATTCTTTATGTTTAAACTCCACACCTCTTGCCAAGACCCTTCCATTCACTTCTCTTACAACCCTATCTATAAAAATGTTGAACAACCACAGTGACATCACACATCCTTGTCTAAGGCCTACTTTTACTGGGAAATAATCTCCCTCTCACCTACATACTCTAACCTGAGCCTCACTATCCTCGTAAAAACTCTTCACTGCTTTCAGTAACCTACCTCCTATACCATACACCAGCAACATCTACTACCACAATGCCCCCCGTATCCACCCTGTCATATGCCTTCTCCAAATCCATAAATGCCACAAAAACCTCTTCACCCTTATCTAAATACTGTTCACCTGTATGTTTCACTGTAAACACTTGGTCTACACATCCCCCTACCTTTCCTAAAGCCTCCTTGTTCATCTATCCTACTCTCCATCTTACTCTTAATTTTTTCAATAATAACTCTACCATACACTTTACCAGGTATACTCAACAAACTTATTCTGCTTTAACTTTTGCACTCTCTTTTATCTCCTTTGCATTTATACAAAGGAACTATGCATGCTCTCTGCCAATCCCTAGGTACCTTACCCTCTTCCATACATTTATAAAATAATAGCACCAATCACTCCAGAACTATATCCCCACCAGCTTTTAACATTTCTATCTTTATCCCATCAATCCTAGCTGCCTTATCCCCTTTCATTCTACCCACTGCCTCACGAACTTCCCTCACACTCACAATTGGCTCTTCCTCACTCCAACAAGATGTTATTCCTCCTTGCCCTATACACAAAATCACAGCTTCCTTTTCATCAACATTTAACAATTCCTCAAAATATTTACTCCATCATCGCAATACCTCTAACTCTCCATTTAATAACTCTCCTCTCCTATTTCTAACTGTCAAATCCATTTGTTCTCTAGGTTTCCTCAACTTATTAATCTTACTCCAAAACTTTTTCTTATTTTCAACAAAATTTGTTGATAACATCTCACCCACTCTCTCATTTGCTCTCTTTTTACATTGCTTCACCACTCTTAACCTCTCTCTTTCTCTCCATATACTCTTCCCTCCTTGCAGCACTTCTACTATGCCAAAACCTCTCATATGCTAACTTTTTCTCCCTTACTACTCTCTTTACATCATCATTCCACCAACCACTCTTCATCCCTCCTGCACTCACTTTTCTGTAACCACAAACTTCTGAACAACACTAACACTGTATTCTTAAACCTACCCCATACATCTTCGACCCCATTACCTATACTCTCACTAGCCCATGTATCCTCCAATAGTTGTTTATATCTTACCCTAACTGCCTCCTCTTTTAGTTTATATCTCTCTTACTTGCTGCTTCTATTTTCCTTGTATCCCATCTACCTTTTACTCTCACTGTAGCTACAACTAGAAAGTGATCTGATATATCTGTGGCCCCTCTATAAACATGTACATCCTGAAGTCTACTCAACAGTCTTTTATCTACCAATACATAGTCCAACAAACTACTGTCATTACACCCTACATCACATCTTGTATACTTATTTATGTTCTTTTCCTTAAAATATTTATTACCTATAACTAAAACAAAGTTCAATCAAAGGGCTTCCATTATCATTTACACCTGGCACCCCAAACTTACCTATCACACCCTCTCTAAATGTTTCTTCTACTTTAGCATTCAAGTCCCCTACCACAATTACTCTCTCACTTGGTTCAAAAGTTCCTATACATTCACTTAACAGCTCCCAAAATCAATCTCTCTCCTCTACACTCCTCTCTTCTCCAGGTGCATACACGCTTATTATGACCCACTTTTCACATCCGACCCTTATTTTAATCCACGTAATCCTTGAATTTACACATTTATATTCCCTCTTCTTCCATTTATTAAACAAAAATACCAACCACTCCAACACTATATCCCACCCCTGCTTTTAACACTTCTGTCGTGATCCCGTCAGTTTCAGTTGCTTTACCCCTTTTCATTCTATGTAATGCCTCACGCACCTCCCCCCCCCCACTTACATCCTGTTCTTCTTCACTCCTAGAAGATGTTATACCTCCTTGGCCACAGCATGAAATTATGGCCTCCCTTTCTTCATCGACATTTAAAAGTTCCTCAAAATATTCCCCGCCATCTACCCAATACCTCCATCTCCCCATCTACTAACTCCCCTATTCTGTTTTTAACTGACAAATCCATTCATTCCCTAAGCTTTCTTAACTTGTTTATCTCATTCCAAAATTTTATCTTATTTTCATCAAAATTTCTTGACAGTGCCTCTCCCACTCTATCATCTGCTCTCCTTTTGCACTCTCTTGCCACTCTCTTCACCTTTCTTTTACTCTTCATATACTCTGCTCTTCTTATAACACTTCTGCTTTGTAAAAACCTCTAATAAGCTACCTTTTTCTCTTTTATCATGCCCTTTACTTTATCATTCCACCAATCACTCCTCTTTCTTCCTGCACCCACCCTCCTATAACCACAAACTTCTGCCTCACATTCTATTACTGCATTTTTAAAACTATTCCAACCCTCTTCAACCCCCCCACTACTCATCTTTGCACCAGCCTACCTTTCTGCCAATATTTGCTTATATCTCACCCTAACTTCCTCCTCCCATAGTTTATACACTATCACCTCTCTCTTACTTGCTGTTGCTAATTTCCTTTTGCCCCATCTACCTCTTACTCTAACTGTAGCTACAACTAAATAATGATCCGATATATCAGTTGCCCCTCTATAAACATGCACATCCTGAAGCCTACCCATCAAGCTTTTATCCACCAATACATAATCTAACAACCTACTTTCACTATGTACTATATCGTACCTTGTATACTTATTTATCCTCTTTTTCATAAAATATATATTCCTTATTACCAAACCTCTATCTACACAACTCAATTAGAGGCTCCCCATTTTCATTTACCCCAGGCACCCCAAATTTACCTACTACTCCCTCTACAACATTTTTACCCATTATAGCATTGAGATCCCCAACGATAAGTACTCTCTCAGTTGGTTCAAAACTCCCCATGAACTCGATAAACATTTCCCAAAATCTCTCTCTCTCTCCTCTATAGTTCTCTCTTCTTCAGGTGCATAAATACTTACTATAACCCACTTTTCACATCCAACCCTTATTTTACTCCACATAATGAATAAGGAATATATTAAAATATTCTTGTACACTGAGAAAGAACTTTTACAAATTTTCCTCAAGTGCAGGGTCATTTACACTACATAAATACAATCAATTTCTGTCCAAAACATAATTAAAACATCTTGCTTTAAACTACAATAAATACTTTCAATATACATTACTTTTTTAACACACCAGCCATTTCCCACTGAGGTAGTGACCCAAAAAAGAATTAACAAAAGTTTTTCTTCCTTTTACATTTAGTAATTCGTACAGAAGCAAGGGTTACTATACCCTTGCTCCTGGCATTTTAGTTGCCTCTTACAACATGCATGGCATATGGAGAAAGGATTCCTCTGCACTTACCCATAAAGCTCAATGTACACATAATGTAAAATATTTGACGAATGGTAAATTCAAGCCACATTTGTTACTTACGGTATTACGTTGAGAGTCAGAGCGAAGAGGGTCCTCAGCAGCCAACATGCCAGATGAGATGAGAATGCAGACAAGAATGACATTACTGAAGAGACTGTGGTTGCAGATTGCATGGCAGAACACACGGAACCTGTTAAAATCAGATAAGTAATTTATAACCTTCCATGAAAAAAAAAAATAATTCTCAGCTGGCTCATTTGCATGTTTTTGCCATGTTCCTAAAACAAAATAAAAATATGTAAATATATAAAGTAATGTAATTATTTTTAAAAACTTAATTCAATAAAGAAAATTAAAGAAATACATTTTACATATACAAATAAATATATGGAACAAATTACAGCATCCCTTTGTCTGCTAAACATCTAAATTTGTCTACTTCATGCCAAAGCAGAATTTCCATTAACTGGTATATTTCTTAATTTCTAATAAAGATTCTTTTTATTTGAACATATTTAACTGTAAAACATATTTTAGGTCATAGTTATTTTACTGCTAATGAACATCTGAAGTTCCTGAAACATTATGCAATTACTTCTTAGTGAATTTCACCAAAATTAATTTAAGCAATATGTAAAAAAAAAAAAAAGGTATGTTCAACATTTCATGCTCACACCTATTAACCAATATTTTCTTTCTTCATAATCATTCCATTAGGTACTTCCACTGAAAGGAGGTAAATAATCATCCTTATTTAGAACTGACACATCTAATAGGTCAGTGTATATTGGTAATTCAAACAAATTTAAATAAGTAATTCTTGAGTTGATTGCATTTCCTGGAAAGAGTGAACAGTGAGCACACAACTCAAGGTCAACTCTAGACCTCCAGCTCTTAAAATGCACATTACTATCACAATTAGTATTGCTATTTTCAGTGGAAAGTGTTATAGATGTAGGGCTGATATAGATCCTGGGGAATGGGAGGTAACCAGGTGTGATGTGAGGAAGGGAAGGCTAGCTTCAATTCCTTGGATTGTGAGCCCTTTTCTCTGAAGGGTCTAAATGTACTAAGGTTTTAACTGACTTGAGCATTGATATATTTGCTTTTTATATGTATAAAGTTAGTCTAATTAATCTGAATTTCACATGAAAATTAATATCCCCATATCACTGTCATTCACTATGATTATCTGTTGTTTATACCAAGTGTTACCAAGTAGCGTAAGTTACCTAAGATGTCTTTGTGTACTGTGGTAGCCTTGATTATTATTATTATAATCAAAAAGAAGCGCTAAGCCACAAGGACTATACAGCGCTGCAGGGCAGGAAGGAAGCGAGGGCATCAGGTAGCAAAAGGGAGATGGATGAGTAATAGGTTACGGATAACAGCGGGGTAGTGGATGGTGAAAGGGTAAAGGGCAGCAAGAGACTGAACTAGAAAGGGCTGAGGGGAGTGCGAAAAGTATCATCAGAGTTTGTGGAGTAAATCAGTCGTTGTCAAGAAGTCAATGAGAGAGTCAGGATTAAAGGAGGGTCCATCAGCAAGAAGGGAAGGTAAAGAGAGAGTAGTAGAACGAAGACGACGTTGGAGGTAAATTCTGCGTGCTCGTTGATAGAGAGGGCAGTCTAACAGAATGTGGCTAATCGATACTGGAACTTGACACTGCTCACAGAGAGGAACAGGGTGCCTCTCCATGAGATACCCATGAGTAAGACGAGTGTGGCCAATGCGAAGGCGGGAGAGAGTGGTCTCCCAACCTCGGCACTGATGACAAGAAGACGGCCAGTAACCTATGCTCGGTTTAATAGAATGAAGTTTGTTACCGAGCAGAGTTGACCAACGTTGTTGCCAACGGGTGCGAAGGTGGGTAGCTATTGCAGCAAAATAGTCCAGAAATGGAACACCTCGATAGGAAATTGGTAGGTCATATACTGCTGACCGCGCAGCAGTGTCTGCCTGTTCATTGCCCTGTACGTCGACATGACCAGGGACCCAACAAAAAACAATATCTTTATGTTTGGTAGAGATACGGCGTAGCCAAAGTTGGATACGGAGAACTAGGGGATGAGATGTATCAAATTTTCGTATAGCCTGTAGAGCACTAAGGGAGTCTGAGACTACTACAAATGATGACACAGGCATAGATGCATGTGGTAGCCTTGAGCTACCCAGATAAAAGTATTATAAAATCTAGAGCATATATGATGAACTACAGTAGTTCATTGATATTTGGGAGGATAGATGCACCAGATTTTTAAAATCCAGATTATCACAGTTCTTTTATGGTACATTTTTTCCTTTTCTTTATCATTAACTGTTTAAGTGCTCGACTGAACACAACTGCAATAAATTGTTGAATGCCAAAAAATCAATAATTGTTAATCAGCTGCACAAGATGTTGAAGAAAATTTATAATGACACAGCTTAAGTTTAGGTTTAAATGAAGGTCAGTAATCTATGTCTGCAGAAAGATTGTTGAAGATGTGTGGTAGGGATGAGTTATGAATGAAGGCACATGTAATTTTCTTAACATTAATTATGAATAAATGGAAGACTGTATGTTACTTTTTGTTAAGATTTACTTTTTATTTCATGGGGCTTGCTGAGCCCATAGGGGTCATACAGCATCTTGAGGAATGGGAGATTATCAGATTCTAAGGAAAGGGAGGATAGCTCCACTTTGGATCAAGAGCCCCTTGAAGGGTGGCAATATCAAGCTGCCGCTGCTAGATACACTCCATTTACCAAGAGATGGAATAACGCTGGGTATGTTTTGTTCTTTGTGTAATGGCAAAAACAATGACATTTACAATACAGAGAAAAGACAGCTGCAGTGTCTCCATGGTGTATCTCATCAGTGTTTTATTCTTTTTGTATAATATCTGCCATTTAACTAGGTGTGAACAATTTTATTAGAGGAAAACACAAGTGAGAGGAAAAATTTGAGTTTGTTGCAAGTACAATGTGTGTACATTACACAGGTCATGTGTTGCAGCCTGCCACAGTCTTAGTATAAAAGGAAATCCCCAGGATGAATACTTATACTATAGACAAATATCAGGCAGAAGGACAGTAAAAATGTGGTATATATAATGTTTAAGAAGACAGGTGGTATCAAAACATGTGAACCAAAAACATTTTTCACACACAAAGGAAAAACCGAATAATAAAATTTAAATAATTTAAACTGCAGTACAGGCATTTCTTATTTTATGTGGTGGATACATTCCAGATCTATGGCAGTTATACTAAGCTCAATCAGGCATTAACACTTAATTGTACATAATAATAATCTTGGAGAGAGGAGGTAAAGGAGGTTTTTGTGGTTGAGGGGCTTAGACTTCCAGCAAGCATGCGTGAGCATGTTAGATAGGAGTGAATGGAGACTAATGGTTTTTGGGACCTGACGAGCTGTTGGAGTGTGAGCAGGGTAATATTTTGTCAAGGGATTCAGGAAAACCAGTTAGCCAGATTTGAGTCCTGGAAATGGGAAGTACAATGCCTGCACTTTAACCCTTTGAGGGCTTCGGCCGTACTAGTACGGCTTACGACCCAGGGTTTTTGACGTACTAGTACGCCTAAATTCTATCGCCCTCAAATCTAGTGGGAGAAAGCTGGTAGGCATACATATGAAAGAATGGGTCTATGTGGTCAGTGTGCACAGTATAAAAAAATCCTGCAGCACACAGTGCATGAGAAAAAAAAAACTTTGACTGTGTTTTTGGAATAAAACAGCGACTTTGCATTGTATTTTCGTATGGTATTTATTGTTGTATTTTAGTTTTCTTGGTCTCATTTTATAAAATGGAAGACATTACAGAAATAGAGATAATTTTGACTGGTTTTATAATGAAAAGTACCTTGAAATTGAGCTCAAAGTAGCAGAAATGTTCGATTTTTACCAAAGTTCAAAAGTAAACAAATCATGTCAAGTGTCGAATACACGTCAACTGGTGAGTCTAATATTCTTTCACAAGTGCGCTGATATTATTTATACCATTTCTACACTAATGCAGCAGTCTGCATAACAGTAAATCTTCTATTTTTAGTAAGAATAAAAATTAAAAGTGGAAAGCCAAAGAAATATAAGAGGGGCCTGGGGATGTGACTAACGAACAGAGGAAATGTTATTTTAGTGCCAGGAATGTCTTTCTTGTTTATTCTGGACCCTATTTGGAAATTGGCATCTTTTGAAATTTGTGTGAAATTGGCAAAATTGCTAAATTCTGACCACTGTATTGGATAGTTGAAATCAGTAAATGGGTGGTTTCTTGTACTCATTCAATAGAAAAAATGGAGTTCTAGAGAAATAGTTATGACTTCTGTCGACTAGTACACTGGAATTGGCCGAAAATAGGGCTCAAAGTGGGCAAAATCGCCGATGCATAAACATCGTTGAGACTGCTAACTTCGCGAGAGCATAATTCCGTAAGTTTTTCATCAAATTTCATACTTTTGGTGTCATTATGATCGGGAAAAGATTCTCTATCTTTTCATCAAATTTTTTTTTTTTTTTTTAAATTTGGCCGACCCTGAGAACAAGTCTCGGAGAGGGCCTGTCGACCCTCAAAGGGTTAAAGGAGGGGTTTGGGACACTGACTGTTTGGAGTGACATCTAAACTGTGATTACGTAAGTATGAGTGATGGTAAAAGTGTTGAATGATAATGAAAGTTTTTTCTTTCAATTTGTTTTGTTTTTCTTTCTTTCGGATTTTTACTTTCTTTTTGGGTCGCCCTGCCTCGGTGTGAAGCAGCCGACATGTTGAAAAAAAAAATCTTCAATGTAATTGGCAAACCACATTACTCCAAATGATGAATGCATGCTGTATATAAAAAATTACTGACAGAAATGGGACATTGCATAATAGAAAATTCACACAAATTGAACCCACATAAAGCAAGGAGAAATGTGTATATCAATAGCCAAAACTTCAATTGCTATTAAAATAAAAGAAATGTTATCCATCTAGTGTCTAATATACAGAAATACTATACAGTAGGGGGTCTCATTATAAGATACTCTGCTATATGATGATCTGTCATACAACAGTGATTTTATTTATTTGGCAACTTTTTATTTGCTATATGACTAATACAGTATATAAATGTAACACACACTAACTCTACTGGACAGGATATAAGTGAAAAAATGTCTCATCCTGTGTATGCTGGGAAATATCCAAACTG